CTAAACACACCAACTTTCAATCATTTTGAAAAGGGCGTAGGACAGGAGTACTCAAACTTTTTTGTTAAAGGTCCACTTGTGAACTTTATACAAGGTCACTGGTCCGGATCGATGGCCACATTCGATACATACATACAGTATGGTGGCTTGAACTAGTGGGAGAAATGGCACAGTTTGTCTGTAGCCAATGCCTTGAACCTCGGCAAAAAAGGCATTGGCAGCATTAGAAAGTCAAGGTAAACTTGCGGTTAACTTGCGGTCTGCAATGCGTGTCACGCTCGCGCACACAAGTACATGTATATGCACGTTCATTCTCACAACGTGTCCGACACAAGAAAATATACATTAATTTACATCAGAATCAGAACGTTTTTATTTTGTATAATTTTTATTTTTTATAATGGGACACAGGGTTCGGTCCGGATTGATATGCATTTCGGTCCGGAGTTTGAGAAGCCCTGGCGTAGGAGTAGGGAGTGAATCTTAGTATGCACCGATGCTTGTAAACAGGAGTATTCATGTTCATGTTCATTAGCCTAAAAGCTTAGTAGGAACATTTTGTGCTGTCAGAAAAGGAACATTGTGTTCACATAAACTTATTGAAGACACTGGCAGGTGATTTATCATTAAGCAATTAGCAGCTAGAGAGCCACATATTTTCCTCAGGAGCTGATGTAATAGTAGGTCATTGTTTGCTAACAAGTTCACACAATATCTTCATGAGGTGATCGTGAAGCCATTTCTGCTGCACCCCAATTACTCACCATTTCCATCATCAATTAAACTGAACCATCAATTCAACTGAACCAAGAACTTTAATGCGACTTCTGCAAACTAACAATTACTGGACGTTTTAGTTTTTTGTTAGCCTAGGAAAAATGAATGTGTTTCTTGGCCAACAGTCTGAGACGCATCATCAAATAACAGCACTCCCTAAAAATTAAAACTAGCTGTTGTTTACCTTCAGTTCTCACGGTCACATGGGTGAGTCTACATGTGATTAAACCCTATGACACCTGACCAACCTGTTTTTAAAGCAGCTCAGTCGATCATGTCACAACGTGCCTGTTCCAACGTGCGACAGATATCGACACAATAACACCTGACATTCCTCCGCTGCATGTCACCTCAGCGCAGTGCGTTTCCCCGCAGCTGGTTCCTTACCGTCTGTGTCTTTTTGTTTCAGTGGAGCTCGCCACTCTGACCCGCGAGAACGGAAAGACCGTCATCAAAGTGCTGAAGCAGAAGGAGGTGGAGGTGCTGATCAAGAAGCACGAGGCGGAGGAGGCCAAGGCGGAGAAGGAGAAGAAGGAGAAGGAGCAGAAGGAGAAGGACAAGTAGAGACACTGACGTTTTGTGTGTGAGAGTGAATGAGCTTTGTTTGTATTTGTGTTGTTTGCTACAATAAATTCACATGATGAATTATCGACTCGGTTTGTCTGTGTCAAATGAACCCTCACAACAAACTCCCTCACTATAAAAACAAGTGTTATTTATTACTTTTCAATCCTTTAACTGCGCATTAAAAAGGATATGTTAAAGAAACTGATTCAACCCACTTTTATATAACGTATACTTATCCCTGACATTACTTTTATGATTTATGGATTTACATTTGAGAACATTTTAGATTAGAGCTAAATATCCGCTGCTGTAGCACAGAGCAGACGGCCTTAATGTATTCTGCATGACTTGTGTAATGCATACTTTAAACTGTTGTGAAATAGGACACCATGGTTACATAATGATAAATACTTTCATTTAGTGTTTCCAGTAAGGATTGCTGTCTGTTTTCCTGTCCTTGTAAAACAGGAAGTTTGGGGTTTTCCATCAGGTGTTTTCTTCTTGGTTGAGCTGAGTTGATGTCTAGAATGTTTTTTGTATCATTATTTGGTAATATCATGCATTTAGAGAGGAAGTTAACAACGCCTGGGTACAAATAGGCGACATGTTTGCCATATCAGCTTATAAAAGGTGCTGACAGTGCATTCAGAAAGGATTTTCTATATCTCTGAAAGTAGAGTGATAAACACCTATTTTACTCAAAATTCGAGTTTTTCATTTTAGACATGAATTACACATTTATATACAGTGTAATTCAAATATTTCACTACTTCTGTAAGACTTTGGTAACCAAATCTAAAACACCAACAAATTGGATGACATGAGTACATTTGTGTTTTCACAAGAGTTTTGAAGATTTTCCGAAAATCGGATGTCAAATGTTGAGCTTTAGAGCTACTTATCTCATCACACGGTGCTCTAAGGTGAGTAATTTGCATTTATAGCAAGACCAGAGATTGTCCTGAACATTTTGAGATGTCACACATGGGGTGCCATGTTATAAGAAGTACATTTAAAAGGTGATTTAAGGAAACGTCTAAAAATCGAGAAAATACCCTTAGACTCCAGAGGGTTAGAGGCCTTTCTTTCTTCTTGTAGGTTGTTATTTGTTTGTGTGCATGTAAATGGTCTGCAAAGGCTTATTTCCCAAAGTTACCTCCAGAAGAAGTTTCTCTCCCACACACTCTTCCCCCCCATTGAGGTCAAAAAGTGAACTCAGTTTTCGTCAGACCGAGCTTCCTTCTAGCCGACACTTCTTGGCATATTGCACCCATAGGTATCTTTTTGGAAGTTTCTTCAGTCTTCACACTCTGGAGCTCATCCATTATGATCATCAGGTTCTGTTTGACCAGGTGGCCTGCTCCAGGAAGGATGATTTACAAACGTCCTCCAATGAAGAATTAGGGAGGCTTAAGTGCTCTTGAGAACCTTCAATGAAGCAGATTTAATTGTGTATAGCTCTCCATCTGTTCCTCGACACCATCCTTTCTCTGAGCTCTGCAGGTGTTTGCCTTTCTGAATTGGATCTAATCAGTTGAATTTAGCACAGGTGGCTCCAACGACGTGTAAAAACATCTCAAGGGTAATTGGAGACAGCTGAGCTTAATTGTAATCGTAAAAGAAGGATCTGAATACTCCACTGTTGTGACATTTGAGTTGTTTCCCTTTGCACAAGGTTGCAACCTAAAAAACATGTTACATAATGTGAGATAATAAAAAGCTCCTAATGGTTACTAACTAATATGAGATTGTTTTGTGATAAACTGTTTCTGACTTCAAGAATGCAATTTAAAGGGGTCCTATTATGCTAATTTAACAGGTTTCATATTTGTATATTGTGCCTCTACTGTGACATGTCTCCATGCTCTAATGTTCACAAAGCTCTTTATTGTTCTCATACTGCCTGTGCTGCAGCACCTCTTTTCACCCTCTGTCTGAAACCAGAGCCCAGTCTGCTCTGATTGGTTAGCTGGCTGGCTCTGTTGTGATTGGTCAACCGCTTAGAGATGTCCCGCCCCTTAACGTACAATGTGTTGAAACCGTTGAAACCTGGTTGAAACGCTAGCCAATACAGTGTTGCACAGTGATGTCGCTATGTTATGGAAGTAAACAAAGGCGTCCAATGGAGGCGTTTCAGGCAGGGGGGGAGAGAAACTCCCTCTGGAGGGAACACAGGGATTTTAGCCTTTGCCGACCATTTACTTGCACAGAAACCTATATAACTCACTAGAGGAGAGGGAGAACCTCATCTGCTGATATAGATCATGTGATACCAAACCTCCAGAACCAACAGTTTCCAAATGGACCTTGTGGTGAAATATCTTTGTCAGCATTACTAGAAAACGTACATTGCATTTGATCTGCTCTTCAGTGAGGTCTGCTGCAGTGTCTCATGAGCGGATCAGTAGGCCCTACTGACTGCTTTAGACTTACATATTTCTGAGAAATGTGCGCAGTGAGTGGAGCTAATGTGGTAACCACTCATCTGCCTCACTCGAGGTGAGTTTATATAAAGGCAGAGTAAGATTAAGGCCAGCAGGGGACTATCTGCCGCTCTGATTTTAGTCCGGGGGATTACTGACTCAGCTCGAATGCCTCACTTCAGATTTTAAACGCACCGTCATGCTGATGGGGATACAGCAGATACAGAAGGATTCATTCATTCTACAGAGAGGCCTAGAGACACATTTCAGAGGTGCCATTTCATTTGAGCATCCCGAGTGTTCAATTATTCACACTAACAGGGCATTTCCTAGACAGTCTGGATGTGTTGAGCCTAATTTGTGTCTTTTCAGGTGTTGTTTCGACCCCAAAATGATACCTGCCTCTGTCAATAATCGGAAAATATTTTGAGAATAAACACATCAGATTTGTATGTAAGTCTATTGCTAAATGGAGTATTCACTTACAAGGCATTACCTCCGTGTTTTGTGCATGTAATAGTCATATAACCAGGAAATAAAATGTAGGCACAATACTGCATGAAAATAAAATAATACAAATATTTAAAGTGTAACAGAAATGTATAGTATATTTTTTAGAAAGATAGCGCTTAACAAATAACAAAGCACAATAGTAAACAAAGATTTTTCGATGGCGCAATGTTTGGCCCGGTGTGTTTGTATTGTGCAAGAACATTCAGTGAAGAGGAAGAAGTTAAGGTGATGTTCAAATGTTTGAGGAAACATGTTTGTTAAGGTAATTGCTATTAAGTGAAGGTAAACAACTTTTGTTTGTTTACAAAAAAAACTCAATAGGGCACCTTCCATATATTGTTTTTTAATATTGTGCATCCTTGCTTGTTAAAGAAATGTATTTGCCCCGGGACATTTTTTCAATTTAGCTTTGTGTTCCTTGTGTTGTGTTTTACGCCTCAGGCCTCAGCATGTGAAAGCCCACACACAGGGACAGGATGTATTTTCTCCTTCAGGAGCAGAAAATAAAGGTTTAAAAGCAGGTTGTTGCCGTGTTAGAGACGCCGATATAGAACAGCTGACTCCACCCTAGAAATAGATCTAAATTCAAATGACTTTGTTGCAGCGCTTGGCGAGAAGCCAGCGGAGAGTCGAGCTAGCTGGAGATTAGCGCCTGACTCAGCTTCTGTTCATAACAACAAATGATCACAGGAGAATCAAAAAACAAACCAAAAGCAATCATTAAGATAACCATTTTTATTGTTTTTCCCCCCAAGACAAAGAAATCCAGAGTATACAAGAGTGGATTGTCATTAAATGGTCACTGAGGACACAAAACAAATCCCTAATCTATCACAGTAAAATATACATACATAAAAATATACCTCTGAGAAAATTCATTTATTGACATTTCCTAACAGCTTATAGTCAGGGGCTCAATCAGTAGCGATGAAGACTCGTATGAACTGAAGACATGCAGAAGAATAACCCCCATCCTAACACCAATATGGAAGAGACTACTCTGAGGCATGGGGAATGTACGTTAATATTGCTTTACATACCATAGGCTTACATCAGCTGACTATTGAACCAGCTTTTTACAGACGGGGTGGATTCTTTGGCGTTTTTTATTTGTACTCTTATTGCATATATGGTATTCACCTGCTTCTGTTGTACCTCTACAATGAGCTCCTTTCCTCACATTATAGCGCGGGTCTGAATCAGCATGGGATGAAATATGGAAAATAGACACATTCCTCAATAAGACTCTGAAGTATAAAATATGAACATTGCACTTGTTTCAATCGAGCGTCCGACTGGTTTGACTCTACTCTCTGAAGGAAGCCCCCGTGTGTCTTCATGGATCCTAAATTGATATTTCTACATAAAATAACATGTTTTGTGTGTTGTACAGAACATAAAGAACTTGTATGTAATTCCTGCTTTCACTACATCGATAAGAAATTAAGTCGCAGCTTGAAAAACCTTTCTTAACGTGATTTTTTCCCATCCAGATTCATACAGCCGATGCTTAACTCTGAATGTGACGTAATGAAAACACACGAGGCAACAAGCTGGGGCTGCACAGGATTAAAACATTATGTGTACATTTAAATGCAAAGTGGAGCTTCTCTTTAAACCGGACCCTCTTACACCAACAATTATTAAGATGACAGTCTTTGAAGAAAAACATAATAACTCGAAGCAGTGGTTTCTGTGTGTGACGTGTGAAGGAGAAACCACAGTGAGGCCGCTCTGGAGGAAGAGGAGGAAGGTGGTTGACCTCCACGAGCTGACAGCCAGCCTGGTGTGACATCTCAACTAACAGGCTGCTTTTTACACCTTTAGAATAACAGGGTTTCTCCACGTTTGTGGCTACAGAGCTTGAAAAGTGCTGGAATGATGATGAGTCAGGAGGAAGAGTAGAATAATGCTTACATGGGCTATAATGTCAAATGCATCAAATCAGGCTATCACCCATCTTTTTTATAAAGTGAAACAACATTTTATTGAACATACCATACACATCATTCCCTCTTTGTATCCCTACCAAACACAGCTTGCATGATATAGCGCACACAAAGTCTCTTTTCTCATCAAAACGGAAGCCGTCAGGAGAGATATGCTGAATTTTAATGTAAAACACCGCCTTCTCCTGAATACCAAACTGTTTTCTTGATGGCAGCGCGAAAATATATAACGTGGCCAAGAGAGGAGCCACACGGCGGGAAAAATAAAGAAATAGCCCAAATCCCAAAATAGTTCAATCTGTCGCTCCCTGTGAATCCAATCAGCAGATCTCCTCTGGGAGGGAGGAGGAGGGGGAGGATGAGGAGGAGGAGGGGGAGGAGTCTGCGTCACATAGAAAATCCCAATCCCCCTTAAATCACAAGTCTATACAAAAAAAAAAAAAGGTAACACCCTCGTCCAAGTGATTCTTTGGGAGGTTTGTGTCAGATTGAAAGGAGAAAAGAGGCAGAAGGTGTGTTTCTGGGGGGGGGGGGGGGGGGGGGGGGGTGGGGGGGGTACAGGGTGGGAGAGGGAGTTGTCACGGCGACAGTCACTCCTCGTCTGAGCTGCTGTTGTCCAGAGAGTAAACCATGAAGGCGAGATCGGGCCGGGCCGGTACCATGGGGTGTCCCGGCTTCACCATCTCAAAGCCCATGAAGTTGAACGTCCTGAAGATGGTCGCTGAGGGAGAGGAGGGGGGGGGGACAGGAAGAGAGGCAGACGTTTAGCTGCAGATACCTGGATGATGACACTCTTCTCAACAATACTGAAGAATCTAATCTCAACATCGTAGCCTGCACCTGAGGATAGAAAACCTCAGAGCTGCAATTAACTCATGCCTTTAGACTCTTTTGAAATATGACACTAAGAACATGTATTCTGTATGACACCTAAACATATTCTCATCGCACATATTTATACCTTCTATAGGTACACTGCAGGTTAACTAGTTATGGGTATTTAAGACAGGAATGTCCGGTTGTCTTGTTTGTCCAAATATTGTCCCGTGTGTATGTCCTTATGCAAGACAATGCTTTTGCTTCTATGGATTGTCTTTGCCATCTTTAACCATGTCTGAGGACATATTGTCCGGCAGTGTTTCAGTCAGTCGGGGCTTGGACTGTGAGCCGTAGGGTCGCCGGTTCAAGTCCCCGACCAGACCTAAATATGGAGTGTGGACTGCTACTTGGAGAGGTCCCAGTTCACCTCCTGCCCTGCTGTGGTGCCCTTGAGCAAGGCACCGGACACCCCCCTTCCCCCCCCCACTCCCATTGCCCCCCGGGCACTGTACAATAGCTGCCCACTGCTCCTAGTACTACACTCCTGGTACTAGGATTGTAATGTTATGCTAAAATATCTGTTTCCTTTCATCGTGTCTTAAGCTGCTGTGATGCAAGAAACATTTCAGACTTGGTCTAACAATAAATTATTATTTTTATCGTATCACATCATAAAATTACAAATGTGATGAACAGCTTGTCCACCCCATCATAGGTGCACAGATGAAATAAACAAGATATAACATGTTGAGTGATGAGGCTTTCAAAAGATGTGGATTTGTATTTTTTTCTGCTTCAGAATTGTCCGTTTTTTCTGCACTTCCTAAAAGCTGCCTAGTCAACAGCAACGTTTTGCCTCGTAACTGGAAATCCATTTAGTAAAAATCTATATTAATGATGTTTTTTAAACTCAATTAAAAAAGGGTTTTGAAAAGCAATCCCTGCCTCTAAAGAAAAAACAGTTTATAAAAAGAGGAAAAGCTCTTACATCGATCCTCTCTCTTTTTATGGAACCACAGGAACACGTAGTTAACTTTCAGCTTCTCCTCCACAAACTCAAGCAGAGCAGTTAGCCTGAGGAAGACACAGAGAGAACGAGATTATTCTCTTCATTTGATGAAATCAACCGTTATCTTTATGACCTCTTTATGATTTAACAATTTTGTCATTGTGACATTCATACCAAACACGCATATTGAATTGAAGGGAGAGCGGGACAGAGAGAGAGAGAACCAGTTTGTAAACAAGGAGAGAGGTGAATACACACAGTGTTTGGTTTTCCCCTCTTTACATAAGTGCTGCAACTTTACATAAGTGCTGCAGTGGCAGCTGCAGAGCTGTGTGCCCGCAGCGGGAAGGTTACTCTGCTCTGGCATCGATTACTCTGCTCTGGCATCGATTACTCTGCTCTGGCATCGATTACAGCAGCACAAAGCCAGGCCATGGAAACCAAACGTATTAGCATTCATTTCATCTGAGACGCACCGATGGTCTCAAAACACGATCCTGGCGTACGATGTTAAAACCGTACGGTGTGCAGACATTGCTCTGGACATGAGAGGGCTATTTATATTTAAACACACTTCGGACTATAGCACCCCTTGTTGTTAAATACCAACCAACTATGTGCAATATGTGCTATATATATATATATGCCGTTAATAACTGTGCAGTATATACACCTGGATGCTAAATCCTCAGAACTGTTACAGGATGTGTATTTTGTAAATTGTGTAACTTTTTGTATCTTTAATACTTGTGTATGCATGCTTAGGTAACTTTAAGCTCTTTTCTGCTGTAACAACGTAAATGTCCCCTCTGTGGGACTAATAAAGGTTTTCTGATTCGGATATCTTACACTTAATGATATCATTTAATTCCTTTAGAGCAGGGGTGTCAAACTCAAGGCCCGGGGGCCAAATCCGGCCCGCGACTTCATTTTATGTGGCCCCACAAGAGCTTGCAAAGAATATAATATGTTTATTATACGGTTACATGCTACTTTACAGAAGCACGTTGCCCATAAACGACATGTCCCACAATGCATCTCAAATTTGACTTTTTTTGTCCAAATATGCCTTTTTTCTTAGAATTAGCCTTTTTCTCTTATATAGATTTTTTTTTCAAAATGTCACTTCTCTTTTTCAAAATGTCACAATCAATGTTTTTCCAGAATGTGGCTTTTCTTTTAAAATCATATTGTGACATTCTTACTGAAGAGACTTGCAATTATTTGCTCTAGACTTCTGCTTTCAGACGTAGTTAATTATGAAGTTATATTAATTAATGATATAGTCTTAAAGTTACAACCGGCCCTTTGAGTGCAACCATAATGCTGATGTGGCCCGTGATGAAATTGAGTTTGACACCCCTGCTTTAGAGGGAAAACAATATTCTAAAATCTCCCCTGAGGGCTGGAACGCTTTTTGAGAATTTGACAACTTTAATAACATGTTTCAAACGTAAAGAGGGGGAAGTGATCATTAAAAAAAAAAAAAAAGGTACCTCCTCAGATATCAATAATTGCAGTCCTCTAGCATTTAATATCATAAAAACCCATCAGGGGGAGTTATAAGTTAGGGGTCTTAAGGAATCCTCACCCCTCTTTGCTGCCGTCCACCAGCGCCCCGGCAGGGACCTCCAGGAAGAGGCTGTCTCTCGATAGAAACGTATCCCAGGAGGCCGAGCGGCGCTCATTCAGCTGGTACTGGAAGCGTAGAAAAGAGGGGGTCCCACTCGCTGCAGTGGCCTGTGTTACTGTCAACTTCTCATCCTGGATCAATAGAGATACAACACAGAAGAAAGACACATTTCATTAATACATTCGACTTTATTTTTTGGCTTTAATGCAAATACCCTTTTGTTTTAACTTAAAATAGAGCCACTTAAGTTTGAGCTGCAGTCACATAACAGGCTTAACTAAATGTAATTCATTTTCAGCATTTTCTTAACTCTCAACTCAAAAGACAGACTTGTTTTCGCCTTCTACATCAGAAAACATAATCATTTATAAATTAATTGTGAATTAAAAACTGCTGCATTTTAGTAGTGATCATTTATCCCCGGTCGGATAACCAAGGGAAATATTTTATGTTTTTCTTTCACTCAATAACAATGATCAATACTTGTCAAAAAGGGTATCAATTATAAATTAGCTGCAATCTGATTGGACAAACAGAGCAGGCTAATCTGAGCTGGAGATACTGACTGTCTGCAGTAAATATGTGAATGAGGGATAGAGGAGGCATTGCCACTATTCTGTTGATAAAGATACAATTACCGTATTGACCCGAACATAAGACAACCCAATTTTTTCGAAAAATACCTTTTCTCTGACTGTTTACATTTTGAAGGCTCGCCATTTTCTAACGTTACACTCAGTAACATCATATTTCTTTGCTGCGCGACAGTTGTTTGATGACTCTGCTTCATTGATCACCATTATCTTAAAATTGGCATCGTAACTTCTTTGTTTATTAACTTGCCCTACTTTTGAGCCACTTTGTTCGAGTTGGTCGCTGTTTCTCTCCATCTCTATCTCTCCAGGCACCTGTTGCTGTGTACCGTTACCGTACTTTAAGACGGTGTCTCGCTTGGGGGAACAGTCGTTTGGAGCGATCTGTTGTTGTGACTTATATTCGGGTCAATACGTTATATACGGCAGTGGCGGACTGGCCATCGGGACGAATCCCGATGGGCCGGTACTGAAGTGGGCCGGTCGGACGATGTGGGCCGGTCGGATAAGTCACTAGCACCCCACCCCCCCCGTTGACAATTTACTAGCGGTATTTACTTGCGATACCGAAGTGGGCCGGTCGAGAGTCCCGGGCTGATTTCCCAGTCCGCCCCTGATATACGGTGTATGTTATTGTTTTGTTTGTGTTGTACTCCATACTTGGGAGTGATAGCATGTCTTTGGTGCAGTGTTTTTATTCGACACAGTGACTAACTAACTGCATCACTGGGCCCTTTAAACTTTCAAAATGAAAGTTTGAAAGACAGCTTTCTGCCTTTGAGTGCGTCTCTAAAGAGTCAAACAGGAAGTGGTTGTGTGGGTATCGTGCGAGCAGCCAGCGAGTCTTCATGTGTAACTGATGCGGTTGAAACCACTTCTGGTTTTATGAACTGCCAAAGATACAAGTCTGAAGAGATTTGGTTTGGCGTATGATTTGGTTATTACGGCATGAGACAGGTTGCACGAGTTCTGGGTGACACACACACACACACACACACACACACACACACACACACACACACACACACACACACACACACACACACACACACACACACACACACACACACACACACACACACACACACACACACACACACACACACACACACACACACACACACACACACCACACACACACACACACACACACACACACACACACACACACACACACACACACAACACACACACACACACACACACACACACACACACACACACACACACACACACCACACACACACACACCACACACACACACACACACCACACACACACACACACACACACACACACACACCACACACACACACACACACACACACACACACACACCACACACACACACACACACACACACACACACACACACACACACACACACACACACACACACCAGCTCTCTGTGTAGTTTGTGTGAATTTGAGCACTGTCACCTTGTGGAGCTGCACGCCGACGGAGTGATCCCTCGCAGTCCCTCGCCCACCCGGGATCTTTAATTGTGGGTGAGGGGCATCAGGAGCACCACTGAGGCCCCGGAGACTGAGGGATTGAGCTGGAAAGCCGAGACCCCGATAACCAGGAACTGTGGAGAGAAGAGGAATTGGTCAGGATTTCCTCAAAATATCTTTCAATCTGCACACATAAAATGTTTTCGACTATCTGCAGCATCCCTATCCCCTAATAGCAAAAACACAACACTGGCAAGATGAAGTATTGTTTGTATATGTGTGTAACTAACTTCATCTGAACACACATGTAATAGTCCTTTATGCTGTATAATTGACCGCATGTCATGGAGTGTAATAAGGTATCCGTAGACCTTTCTATGAGACAACTTTATTTACCTAACAGCTCTTCAGCCATGGTACATACATACTTCTAGATGCAGGCTTACATACACCTACTACTCAGTATCACTCCGCGCCACATCAGTAACATCTTGATAGTATATGTGCGCGACAATATATACTACAACACACTTATCTGATGGCATCGTTACAACTATACTAAGAGGCAGAAACAGGCCAGACAAGGTGCTAAACTTTATGGATGGTGTTGTGTTAACCAAACACTCAATCTGTCAAATAATCTGCAACGAAAATAATCGTGAGTGGCAAAGAAGTTATTTTGAAATGAAACTCAAACACAAACTCCACAGGGCGTCTGACGCTGTAATACTCTCCCTCAGATACTGATGATAGGCTCTGAGTGTGTTGCTTCACTCACACTCAGCCCCTCTTCATTAAGCACTTCCCTGTAATTAGCCAACACAAAGCACCTGTGGCAACATGCTCCACCAATGACGTGTCAGGGACAGCCAGAAGGATTTGACATGTTTATACTGCTTTGTTTCCTAAGAATCCAACAATTATCTATTCAAAATTCGAAGGATCCTGGCTTTGACATAATAAATTCCTCTAGTGTGACTTTAGTCCTAGAATCAATATGGCGTCAGACAGAGACCAGACAAGTCTCTAATCAGAAGGAACTCTAACTCTTTGGCCTTAAACATGAGACACGGTGCTCCAAGTAGTCCAGTCAGGTTGGTTTAGTTATATATAGATTTTGGCATTTTACTCCAACCCTGTGACCACAATTCCAAGAAATCATAAAACACGAGGCAAGAACTAGCATGTGATGTGGGCGGACCCCGACAAGTTTCAGTCTATTGACTCCATCACTGGGCTGACTGTTTAAGAGCCTATGAAAGACAGAATTAAAGCCCATGATTTATTGACTGCATTCAAAGAGTTCCTGATGCCTTGTGTGTGTGACCTGTAAGGCATGCATCACAACAAGCACATGACCTGTAAACACCTCTGCAAATAGCTGGAGAGGCTTTTGGGAACACTCTTCTCTGGTGTTTTGAGTTACAGTCGTGCTACTCAAACCAGACATCATGGCTGAAGGCCGACGCGACCTGGACATAAGGGCTGTTGATTCTCACTTAGTTTGTCAAATGTTGGCCTTTCAGATAATAAATAGCTTTCCCAGAATGCCTTAGTTGACCCTGAGAGATTCTCGCACCTAAAGCTAACAATGATGATGTACAATCTTCTGTTTGAAGTTCACGAGCCGCACCGACTTGTTTTTGAGTAAATATACAGATATGATCCGAGACACAGTAAAAACATTAGATGCATGCGACTTTGTTTTTGTGAAAAGGAAAGAGCTGTGCAGCCAGTTTCCCTGCAGAGCGGACAGGTAACCCGGACAACCTGATCTGCATAGCTACGAGCCAACAGGGTGGAGCAATGGAAAACAAAAGGTCATTAAGTCACCCTGCTCACTCTGCAGGAGAAACGGTGCACACCTTTTCCCTGTTTCATCATTTCTTGGTGTTGACTTTGAAAACAACGATGTTGACTTTCAAAGGACCTGAACAGTTCAGTTCAGAAACACCTCGACACATTTTCAAGTTTTGAAAGTTTTATGGAATGATTTACTTGTTTGTTTTTTTGAGGTAATGAGTGGGGATGCAATATTATGTGAGGACATCCGTTTTATTTATCAATTGCTTGTTTTATTTAATTTAATTTATGTATTATGCCTTTTATTTTAATGTAAAGAATAACGTATTTGTATTATTTATTAGTTTTGTTGTTTGGAAAAAATGAAACTTTGTAACATATTGGAAATGCTTAAAGGTCACCTATCATGCTATTTTTAGGCAATAGCATAGGTCTCAGATATATACAAATATATAAAAAACATGTCTATGAAGTGTTTTGCTCAAAATACCAAACAGATCACCCATTCTAGCCATGCCTCATATCCCTCCATTTCACTTCCTGTTTCAAAAGTGCTGATTTGGGGTATAAAGCTTTTTAAAAAAAAATAGCTACCGTCTAAACTAAATACTGCCGTGATGAAACGCCATATCATGGATTATCATGGATTATTTCTGAAACAGTATGGAGCTCAAAAGCTTTCTCTCTTGCCGGTTATACCACAAGGTGAGTTCCTTTTTATTTCCTGCTTCTTCACACACATGCTCTGCAGTACAGGTTAGCTCTGAGTGTTAGCGATGCTAATGTAAACACCGACCATATTACGTCCAAAACAGTCGGGCATTGTTTCTGATAGCAACGTTTCTGATAGGGCCGTGGGTGTTAAGACAGCCTACATTTCAGATATTACGTCATATCGGACGCAAATCTGGATCAGCTCCGTTGTAGCCCCGTTTTTAGAGATTTGGGTACGGAGGAAAAGAGAGAGGGTTTTATTTTCTGACGCTGCGTGAGTTCCCTGACACACCGGGGACACATCTTTATGTATAAAAGACATCAACAAGTGCATTTTGCATGATAGGTCCCCTTTAATGTAAAGTATTTCAAGCCCCACTCACTTATTAAAAATAATAATTATGCAAAAATGGTTGCAAAAAGTGGTTGCTTTATTTGGTAATGAGAATGATTTTTGGTGGCAACAATAATAGAAAACATTCTCAATTGCCAAAACAAATCCTGCTTTGAAAAGTATTAAAACATTTTAAGTTTTACCAGTTAAATATTTCTTAAATATCAAAAGTAAAAGTAGTATTTATGCAGCAGAATGGCTGCTGACAATATCATAATAAAATGACTTGTATTATTAAAGATGCATGAATTTATAAGGAGCATTGTAACCGCTTTAAATCACTTTTAGGTGGTTTAATCTATAGGAATGCATCCGATTTGATTAACTCATCATAGGTTTGAAAGTTTTAAGCACTAACATATAGTTGGACTACACGTAGAAATAAATGGAAATACTTGAAGTACCTTAACATTATAGGTGCAGTACTTGAGTACATTATGTACTTGCATAACTTAAATTCCTCTACTGACTTATTTTAAACACACGAGAAAAACCTTGAATCTGAAATAGATGCATGCAATGTAAGGAGCATGAATCATTTAAACATCTACCAGAATTGAGTGTAGAAACGATTCTGGTAGTCTGGAGTTTCCTTATTTATTCCACAGAAACAAAAGTGATCAGTGTTTTGCAATGGCAGGTAGGACAGATGGAGGGAGAGATTAGCACGCTCGCCAAGATGTCAAGACCAGCTTCTCTCTTTCCATCTTCCCTTCCAGATCAGACAGAAGAGCCCGTCCTTGATGGAAATGCCAGCTTGTTTTGAAAGACGACACTTTGGTCTTCTGACATTTCAGACACTTTAAGCAGCTCTCCTCCCCCAACCCCCCCGATGCCCCTCTAGCCCACCAAAAGGTCACAAGGTTACCCTAAAAACAGAATTTAGGTTACATTTAAGAAGGTCAACTCTATGGGTGAAAAGGCGTGCAGCACTCTTTGAAGGCCCAGCAAACACACACACACACACACAATCCTGGCCTGTATTCATATGCTGGTGAGGATTTAATCATCTGTGTGTCGAAGAGAGACTCAAAGATGCCAAGTGCGTCATTGTCCAGTTCTGCCAGGCCTCGAGGGGTGAGGACATGCAACAGGAACATATTTTTTAGGATTAATGCTTCCACTGCCTGCTCCCTGAACAGAGTTGTTTTGAGAGCTGGTTTCAGGTGAATTGTTTCGGGGCCCAGTTCAGCCGCTAGCCAAGAAACACACAACTCAACTAAAACAGGAAGTGCTCTGGCAGGTTCTCCAAGAATCCTGAGACACACCAAACCAACTTCTTACAGTATAATGACCAGCTAAGTGATGGAAAAAGACCCAACTTAAACTCAGATGTCAACACAAACAAGGCTGTTAACCCCAGAAATGGTTAAGGCGGATACATAAACATTAACAACGCATTGCTGGTGAAAGAAAGTAAACAGGAGAGTCCTCAGACCGCTTCCTATCCCTGGAAGTTTGGCAGAGCAGCGCGTCGGAAATACGTAGAGACAGAAACAGGACGGAACAAATGCTCCGACTGTGGATGGACGTATCCCTGTCAAAACATCAGGCACTGACACAAACTGTGGCTGTGCAAGGCTGGTTTAGACTCACATAAAACAACAAACACAACAAGACCAGTCTAAATAACCAGACCAGTGAAGAGCAACATATTCAAATAAGCAAAGTGTAGAAGCCAAAGGACAACAGTGAGAATGGCTGACTGGAAAGTGCAAAATACAATGTCAATCACCGAGTAGTTAACATGTGAGAAGGAAGGGTTACCACTTTGGGAGACTAGAATTAGGGCTGGGCAACATATCAATATTATATCGATGTTGTGGTCAGACTAGATGTTGTCTTAATTTTATCGATATCACCAAGTCTAAAGTAGAAAAATATTCTTTATGTAGTAATCAATAATAAAACGAATCCACATCAACCGAAACCTACCAAACAGGCAGCCCTTATATGGAGCACATGGCAGTTAAAAAACATCCCTCACACAGACATTTGGCACACCGTGACCCGATACACAGGAGGAGTTTTTGTTTGTGGTTTCTGATTCCAGCGCAGGCTTTGTCAGTACAGGCACAGTTTGGTAAGCATGTGGCAACACAAAATAACAGCTTGATACCAAACTGAGGGAATAAGCAAACCAGCCTGTAAATCACAATCTTATCACCGCAGCATTTCGGTCTGCTTGTTTGTTGCCTGTTTTCGAAAACTTTTTCTTGACAGGGAAAAACATGAAGCCGTCAACCCACCAGCAGAAAGGGTGTGTCTGGCATGTGTGTGTGGGCAATGATGTGCCACATTAAATGTTAGTAGGGTTAAACAGCCATGAAATGATCATGGCAGGATAACAGTCTGACAAAATATCAGAGTAGGGGGGATGTAAAAAGATAAAGTTGACCATAGAAAAAATAAATGTTCCCAACTTTCTCACCTTATTAATATCTAACAAAATGATTAGAGCTGAAATAATCAGTCCATTAAGACAACCTGTTTTGACTATCAAAAATAGCTGATTGATAGGGTAAATAATCATTACTTGCAGCTCTAAAAATGTTTGTTTTGTGCATGTGAAGAGCCTCTTAAAGTTATTTTGCCATTGTGCAGACATTTCCTCCCGTGAATGTGGTCACTTCAAGCCCATCTGCACTTTGTTCACACCGGCGCTTTTCCAGCTCCGGCTCGGAGCTGGAGCTGGAAAAGCGCCGGTTTTTCCTGTTCACACCGCAGCGGCGCCGCGTCATAGCTCCGGAATGCGGTTCACTTCCAGCTCCAAAAAATTGTCGGTCTAGAGGCAAGAGCTTCGGAGCTATGACGCGGCGTCGCTTACGTCTCTCTTACGTCAAGGCGTGCAGGAAACTAAACCCACCTCCCCTGAACATGGGTCGACTGAAGAGTCTCGTCATGCCTGCCTACAAGCAGTAGCGCTGAGCAAAGTGACTAGAAGGCAACCACACACTTATAAAAAACCCACACTTTATAAAGTCAGGCAACAATAACCAGGCTTCGTGTGATTCTGTTTATTTGTACCTTACTATGACCTGTTATTGATCATTGTGGAGAGCAGGCAGACGTTTTGTTTGTTATTATAGCAGCTATCGGATGGAATCAATACATGGGCTGCACAGGTTGTCATGTCCGACTATCACAAGTAGAATCATAATGAAAAATACGCCGGTAAAAGCCTGTAGAAAACGGCTTAGCAAGTAGTCAGTTTAGCTTTGGTTGCTATGCTAACATCACCCATGTTATACCAGAGAAACTTTCATAACAGCGTTGTGATGCCAAACAGCGTCAATTCAGACTGACACACATTCACTTAAGGGGAACTGGGGATATGTATCAGCTGCTTGTGTGACAGTCAGACAGTGAATACTTTAGAGCCGTGTGAGCTAACCCGGAGCTAACGGGAGAATAAACTCCCGTGGAAGAGCAGCCAGCACTGTAGCGGTCGGTAAATGCCGCTAAAATACATTAATAAACAATGAACCACGGCACTCTGGAGAAAAGTATAAGGTTGGAGAAGTCGTTATTTAATTTAATCTGGCTTCGTATGATTAAAAGCAACACGATCATCGACCCGACGCAGTCCCCCCCCCCCCCGTTGTTGTTGTTGTGAGCTCCGTTGGGGAGAAAATCAGCGATGTAAACGGTGACGTCATGACACAGCAGCGGCAGCTGGGCGGTGTGAACAGAGCGGGAGCTGAAAAGGGGAAACCGGAGCTGAACCAGAAAAGTTCTAGCTAGGAGCTAGAAAGGGAAAAGGTGTGAAAGCCGCATGACAGGTACTGTACATGCAGGCTAAGGTCTGTATCACAGCCTGGCCTGCATCACAGCCCTGTCTGCAGTTTCCAAATAAACGCTGAGGTTACAATCTCAAGATCACAACTGAAACCGGATGGAACCGTTTCGTTTTTCAATTCGGAAAAAAAGCTTGCAGCAACCAATGAAACTGCCAGTCTCCACACACACACACACACACACACACACAACACAACACACACACAACAACACACACACACACCACACCACACACAACACACACACACACACACACACACACACACACACACACACACACACACACACATACACACACACACACACACACACACACACACAACACACACACACACACACACACACACACACACAACACACCTACACACACACACACACACACACACACCACACACACACACACACACACACCCACACACACACACACAGCCATCACACAGCATCGACACACACACACACACCACCACACACCACTACACCACCCACACGACACACACACACACCACACATTCCACACCCACGAACACCCACACACCACACCCCCAGCACACACACCCACACTCCCCACACACCCACACACTACCACAGACAGAGAGAGACAGAGAGAGACAGAGAGACAGAGAGACAGAGAGACAGAGAGACAGAGAGACAGAGAGAGATATGTAGGCCAGTTGATGCCTTTAGCTGACATGGCCATAACAGAGGGAGAGCTAATATAGTCACAGAGAGGCATCGAAGGACCTCTCTCTCTCTCTCTGCATGGCAGATGATAAAACTCAAAGAGGACAAACACAAGGCCTCTGTTTTTGTAAACAGAAAGAAAACACACTACAATCGAGCCATGCATTTGTATATACAATATATGTCAAACAAAAATGTAACTGACGGTATTACACTGAGAAGTCTGTTTTCTTTTCAACTAACAGTCCAAAACTACTACTTTTACAGATAAAGTAAAGAACGAACTATTGGATGAATAAAGTCAACAACTGAATCATAAATTAAAGTGTCTGTTGGTTGCAGTCTTTTGTCAACGGCTTGCAGGTTCCCCTATAATACTTTGGATTTAACTAGCTGTGGTGGAGAATTAGATTTGAAATAGGTTTCCTGTCTGGGGTTTAAAGTATTCTAGAAAACTTTAATAGCCCTGTAGCCTCCGACGTCCAATTCAGAAATGAGTAATGATATATTTCACTTCCACTTTGCACAGTCATATGTTAAGATCCTTCCTTTGTTTAACATGATTAGAACAAACATTGCCAAATAGCTCTAGTGCATCTTCCTGAATTATTGAGAGGCTCATGTTCATGTCTGTTTACTGCACATTATCTGCAGTGGTGAAATGAAACCAAGTCCATGTACTGAAGTACTGAACACAATTTTGAGGGTACTTTTATTTAGTATTTCTACGGGGAAATGAGTCCCACCTTTACCAGCTGCAACTTTAAATTGACTACAAAACTTTTTTCCATTTAACAGAGTCATTCTTTCACTGCAGTATTGCTTGTTATACTTTTACCAGTGGTGTAAGTACACAAGTACTGTACTTAACTAAGTACTATTTTGAGAGACTTGTTACTTTGTGCTTCTACCCCACTTCAATTCAGAGGGGGAAATTGTACTTAGTTACTTAGAAGATTTTGATTATGAAAGTGAAATATAATCAACACTTAAATAAGACTAGTTACACATGGAGTACATTAACAAGCTACCTTACAGTAAACAAAGTCATTAAAACTAGCTCTACCTTTGCCATCTCTGATAAACACATTAATGCATCAATATTTATTATAATCCAAACATATCATATATATTATTCTGAAATGGGTAATCTGCATAATAAGTACTTTTACTTTTGGTACTTTAAGTCTATTTTGATGCCAAAACTTTTAAACTTGTACTTGAGTAACCTTATGAATACACTTAAGTACAAGTTGTACTTGTAACAGAGTATTCCAACCCTCTGGTACTTCTACTTTTACTAAAGTACAAGATCTGAGTACTTCTCCCACCTCTGAGTTACATTACAGCACTGTTTATGTGCATTTATTTCCTGCTTTTGACGAGTTAGCTAAAACTAACTAAAAAAGTTAAACTTGTTTTTTATAAACAAGTACTACTTTAGGGAAGTCTGTGAACTCCATAACAAGTTAAACAAACTACTAAGTTTGACTAAATTGCACAATTGACACAACCAACGTCTCCTGGATGTTTCTAGAAGAATATCAGCATCCTCCTACCTTTCCTCTGTGTTCAGCATGATAGCTTCGAGGAAACACGGGTCTTTCGGTCCTTTTTGACAACTAAAAATATTACTGTTCGATAAAAACTCGACAGAATAGTTCACCATTCGTAAATGAAGTAAAGCCTTGTAGAAAGTGGATGTTTCTAGCGCTGTTATGAAGGTCAAGTTAACACACCGCTCTGCTGCAGCAGCAAGTCTGCGGTCCTCCGGCACGGAGGGGGTATTTATAGCCACAGCAAGGCATCATGGGTAATCCCAGAAAGTAAACAAACTGACAAAAACGGTTATGAAAATCATGTTTAATTTTATGGATACCGTATAATAATAATAATAATAATAATAATAATAATAATAATAATAATAATAATAATAATAATAATAATAATAATAATAATGATAATAATAATGATAATAATAATAATACAATTTGTTTCCAAGTGAATCATAGACAGTATTTAAAATGTTTATAAAGACAGAAAAATACAAGTACACAGTCAAAAGACTACATAAAATACATTGGAAAATAAATTATACAAACAAGGCAAAAAAATACCCTGAGGTATTATGTTAACAAACAAGACTAGTTTACAAGTCTGTCAAAATGTGTCTTTTTTAAATTAATTTTCACAACACAAATTGAAATTGAAGTCACATCTACAAACAAACTTACAGAAATACACAACTCACGTTAAATGGAGTATATTTAATCAATTACTCCACTTAAATGTATATGTGGTACTTGCATTTATTGAGTATATGCAATTTCTGCCCATGTATACTTCTTTTTAACTGCACTCCCCTGCTTTATTAAGTGTAGTTACTATGTAGTTAAAATGCTTAATATAATCAGCCATTAGTAAAATAAACAATGAGGATTTTGGGATTGACCTTCAAAAATATTTGAATAGTGATCTAAGCTATTTCTCTTAAAATCAGTGATCTGCAGGATCTTCAGGAGAGAAACTTTTGCAATAAAATAAACACAGAAAGAGAAAGGAAACACAGGCGAAATATAATCTGGAAGTATTGTTGAGTCTGAAGAAATCTCTGGAGTCTGGATTTCTGGAGCTCAAAAGGCCACCTGCACTGACCTCTGACCCCTCTGAAGAAAAACCCGGGTAGGGATAAAGGTGATAGGTAAGGAGAGAGAGAACAAGCTTCCTGGAAATGACCACGGTATGCCTTGCTTCGATTAAAACTGTCCTACTCTCCTTCACAGTGGTCATCCTTTGGCCCAGACTCTCAGCCAGAACCTGAACACAGACCCAGTTATGTAAGCTGGAATGGAAAAGGGCCCCTGTGCCAAACAGATTATCAGATTAGTAACAAGATAGCAGCGCAGCTACTTGATCCGGGCACATCACAGCTCTGATGTTGGCGGGACATCTTGCCTGGGTGAGCAGGGGACGTGGGGTCATTGCCAAGCGACAGTCACCCTGAAGCAGCTCCCTCTTCATGAGGTAACAGTGAGTGAAACCTGACGAGGAAGTCTGTGTTAGTAAATGAGAGCAGTATTGCCAAGAGTGACGTAAAGTAGGTTTAGTAAAATAACCAGCTACATTTCAGCCTCACGTGATAACCCATCTTAAGAAGTTTCTTCCTTAAACACACCAACGAGGAGACATTGACTAAGAACAGATTCAAAGGACACAAGAGCACACTTACCGACATTTGAGTGTTGAAAATGTTTTGGCCAAAATAAAAAAATGTGATTCTGCAGTTGGAAAATAAAGGACTCGGATTATAATACAGATTGGCAATCAAGACTTTTCTTTGCCAGACAGCGGTGCTATTTGTTAGGCCAAGCAGTATGACAACAGACACAGAACAACACACATGATTTTATTTGATTGTTTACTCAGATCTGAAAAATGTTTCTTCTTTCTCCCCCTCCACTAAGTAAAACTTATTTTCTATAAAAATAAAGCTAAGTGACCGAGATTGAGCAGTTCATATGTATATCATTTTATATACATCAATCATATTATTTATTTAGGATTTTCCAGTTTTTGATACTCCTAAAAAATCCAAATAAATCTAAATGCTTAAAGTACAAATAGTTTTATCTTCAGATTAACTAAATCACACAAAATCGACCTTATATCCTCTAAGACTGATGGGTGTCTGTACCAAATGTAATCCATTCTGATATTTCAGTGTGGATCGAAGTTATTGACTGACTGACCGTCGACGACATCCACACAATTTTAGGAATGGCAATGAAAAGAGAGTGCTGATTTTGAGAGCAAAAAGTAGTTAAATCCTTAAAGGTTAAATGTAAAATAAGTCAAAATCAACTAAAGTTTAAATTTCGTTGTATATTAAATAAATGAGGTACATTACAGAAACACCACTTACTCTCCTATTATCACCTGATCAAATAAAGTCAGCTGGTCACATGAATTCATCACAAGACAGACAAATAGTTACATGTTTTACTGTTTTACTTTACAGATGTATGGCAACAGCTGCAGACTTAAAGCAATCTGAGCTGGACTTCAGGTGGAAACTGAGCATCTGAGTTTCCAGGACAGACTGTCCCTTCGCTCCCCTTGATGACCTCCAGCGTCGCAGAGTGGCCCACGAGAAGCTGGCTGGAAAACATCTCTCGTGTTTCAACCTGTCGTCACGATGCTGCTCAAGAAAGACACCGCTGACCTGGTATTTTGTTTTTCTCACCGGAGCTTCTCACACCAAAGACAAAAGGCAGATTGTGTGAACGGCACGGGACACTCTATCTGTGCTTTGAGGATGAAATATTCAGCAGGATCTCGGTGGGGAATAGGAAAGAAAAACAGTTGTCTTAAAGGGCCCATGTCATGCTTTTCCGGTTATTACCCGTCCCCTTGTGTGTTATGAAGGTTTTTATGCATGTAAACGGTCTGCAGAGTCAAAAACCCTCAAAGTACACCCTGTAGCGAGTAAAACTCTAACACAGAAAATACCTGTCTATGCTGCCCCAAAACGCCTCGTTGGAGATTTCTCATTTTCCATTGTTTTCTTCCTGGGTTCTGTGACGTGTGAATACCCAAATCAACAACAAATGACCGGGTTGGTCCATTTGGGCCAATCCGGTCATTTGGTGTCACCTCACACAACAGGATCCCTTGGCTAACTAACAGGGAGTCCCCATTGACTTGCATAGAGCTCCCTGAACGCTGGTAATAGACGAGTTGGGATCGTGGAGAAATGCTCTCCGCAGACCCATTCTCACAGCGTTATAAACCTTTTTCTTATTCAATATCAAGCCACACTTATTGTTTTTACTTCGGCTGTGAGTGTTTGTGTGTGCTCAGGATGAGATTCGCTGTGTCTCGCTGTATCGCCGACCCGGAAACCTGTCCAGCAGCGAGCCTCGCAACGTCCCGACCAATCAGAGCACACTGGGCTCACAGGGAGGGGGGGGCAGGAGCTCCAACCAGCCGTTTAGGACAGAGAGTGAATACACATACTATACAGAGATGCTGTATGAGAAACCAATGTGAGTTTGGAAAATTGCACAATATAAATCTATGCTAGTAGACCTCAACAATGGAAATATGATCAGTAGAAATGGCCATGACATGGGACCTTTAAAGAGCGGCCCTCCAGATGTGGATGTTTGAAATGGGCCAGGGATGCTGTCAATTACTGCATTTTCTTGCTCAGCCTGTATGCATAGAAATGTACTAAACAAAAAAGAGAAAGCACACGTCGCAGATTTCTGCTCGATTGACTGAATGCCCAACGTCATTTGCATTCCCTTTGAATGAATGTACAGGCTGTAAGGACATTTCAACCTTTCTAACTTCCTATTCAACACAGTTTGACAGTGACAGCATCAACATTTATCTCCCAAAAAAAGACTTCAAGCCGCTTCACTTAAGATTCCTGTTCAAGGAGCTCTTTGCCAAAGAGGAACTTGGATTTGAGGGCTTGACCCGCGCAGCAGGAACCACTGAGGACAAGAACAGCAGGGGGTCCTTTCAAAGGCTGGTGCTGTTACTTTTAAGACGTTGTGTTCTCATAGCTTGACTATTTTAGGCCGAGGAGTGTGTAAAGCTAATACTGTGTTTTTTAAAAAGCATCTAAAACATATTTGTCTCAATAACAGTCTTATGAGGAATTGGGTTGTTTATAAGCACATGATCTCACAGTGCAGCCTGCAGCAAATAAAACATTTGTAAGGAATATCATTTCAATATTCATGTCTTCAGTTTTCATGCTTGTGACTACACTGTCTCCATTACAAGAAGAATGAATAAGTGCTGTGTGTGTGTTTTTGTTTATCTGCCTCTGTATGTGGCTGTGTGCTACAGTATGAACAAACTCTTGACCTAATTCAAGTTTCCATTGTTCCTCTCTGGCAGTGTCCCACGTTCTGTGTGGGGAAAGTGAGTTTACTCTTCACCACAAACACACCGACACAGTAAACATCAGGATTCTCACAATTTCCTGCTTTCTTTCCATGTTTAAATATATCTACAATTTCTTCACTTAAATGGTTTTCTTGTAACGTGCAGATAAAAAGATCTCTCGTCCCTCCTTGCCAAATCTTCAATGGAAGTCATGTTGTTGATGATGATGATGATGATGATAGTGATTGTTGTGGGCGAGGTCCTCGTCAACAATGGCGCCATCGAGCGAGTAGGCGTCCACAGGAAGGTCACGTTGTCCGCTTTTGTTCTTCAGATGATTTCAGCTTGTGTACTTTTCTATCTTGCATGGCGGATGCTGGTACATCGAACAGTGTGCCTTTGTTGGCAGCTGATCCACAGGGTGTGTTTTATCAAAAAAACGTGTTAGATGCATTCAAAGTTTGCAAAAGTACATTTCAAGGGGTACAGTCTTGCTTTCTGTTCAGGGAGAAAATGACAGTTGCCAAGTGGGGCCTTCCACACGTCACCTTGTTTTTCTCAGGGTGTTGCCTGTACTGGATTAATCTCCTGCTGAGTTCACCGCTGAGAGCCATGCTGTTCTCCTTCTGCAGTGCACGCAGCATGTTTATAAGCTGATTGTCTCTCTGTCATGCAGCCCTGCAGGAACGTCTTTCTGTTTCCAGGTAGAGCCGTCAGTTTGCCCTGCAGCTGACTTGACCTTCAGCCACAGTTCATCTCAGTTTCATCCCCTCAATTCATGAAAGTCTGCAGCAATAGTTGCAGGCAAGCTGGATAATATTTGTATTTAGTGTCTCTCCTGTGACATGTCTCCATGCTTTAATG